TTTTACAGCTAATGAGATAGATCAGTATTATCAAGTTAAGCACGCCTAACCAATTTGAAGAGCTTTTAGCTTTGAGAATGGATTTGGAATTTCCATACATCAACACTTTACTGCTCATCAAAGCGGTCCCTGTTCGTATCGATTATGATGGGGTCTACTTTTATAGTGTTAACTGAGAATTCCCTTTCTAAAATAATCATTGAAAAATATTTGTGTGCTTTACAGACCCAAAAAAGTTGCAGAGGCGGAGCATGTGATAGTGGGTGCCTCCATATTCAAAGCTTGGAGAAGAAGAGTGCATGGGAGATCCAAAGAGTAATCATACCCGGGTGGTCGAAGATTTACCCGGGTACACTCCTCTCTACCCGGGTAAATAATTCAAGCAATTTCTCAGGTGCGAAGAACAATACCCGGGTACACGCCTCCCTACCCGGGTAGACAAAAATTTTCAAAAAATACCCGAGTACAGAGGGGTGTACCCGGGTAGGCTTGGTGGTCAACGGTCAAACAGGGACAGATTGGTGTTATGTTTTTTGAGAGGGTTAAATTTTTGAAATAGTTTATAATCAAGGTCAAATCGATAATTAATTAATAATAAAGGGTTATAAGAGTAAAAAAGCCCCTAAACTACTTAAGTTGATCTTCTCCTTCCATTAGTGTGTCATTTGGTTGCAAAAATGATTACATTTGTTCTTCCAAAAATAGAAGTTTAATTAGGGACTAATAGAGAGTGTAATAATCCTTTCCACATGAATTCCATTATTCTCCTCTTTTCGTTTCTCTGATAAAGTTAAGCACATTTTATATTCTAATACAAACCTATTCTTTGACAACTCCGCTGACGTGTCACTTCCACATTCAATTTCAGCTTTGCATTCACACTACACAATTTTAAAAAGTTTCATTCTTTGGTAATTCAGGAAATAAAAAAATTATAAAAGAAATTATAATCTGGACTCAAAATCGATGGACACGATTTGCTCTCTCAAATCAATGGTGCAGATTTGTTATCATTTTTATTGGCACACAACTCATCTTATTTTCAAATTTTAAATTTGGAGTTCAAAATTTAAATATGAAAAACTAACAACTCAATTAATGTTCACCTACTTTTTCCATTGGAATTGGAATTGGAATTGTTAAACATTTAACAAAATATTCAAGGCTTCTCATTGTTCTATGAATTGCAAAAACACATCCTTTTTCTTCCTCCTGTTCTTCGTTGTTCTCTTTTCGTGCAGATTTAATCAATTTTTTCTCATTTTTTGTTGTTCTTTTTGCATCTTATAGTGTTCCTTTGCGTTTTGCAGATTAAATCGAGTTTGAGTGGATATGCTTAGAAGCATTAGAATCTCTGATTTCTTTGAAGATATTCTTCACGCCATTTTTTTGAGTGTATATGGTTATCTCCTCTTTCTTCCATTTTTTATTATTATTTTTCAATAATTTCTTCACGCTATTTCCACTTCCTTTTTAAGCTTCAATTAAAGTTGTAATGTGCAATTGCTTTTTCTCTGTTTTTTTTGTGGATTTGCAGACCGAGAACAAAATATGGATTCAGATCCTATTGCTACTTTCCAGGTTCATGAATATTTAAGACGGAAGGTGACTAATTTTTTAGAAGTTTGGATGAATACGAATGCATCTGAAGCATTTATGGTACCATGTAATGAAATGTCCAAGTTTTTTTTTTAAACCTTTGTCAGCTCTGTGATTTATATGAAAATGATTCCATCTTCGATAAATTTGAGTGCTGTCTTTATATATGTTTAACTGCTGAACTCTTTATACCATAATTACGAACCTTAGATGCATGTTTTAATCTGGAAAATTGTATTCCTTTCTATTAATTTTTGGAATGGTAAATTGATCTTTTTCCAATGTTATCTCATTGCTAGAGAGCATGAAATAAACCTGTGTTGGACCATGTGGGGCTACGAAACCAAATAAATGGTTTATTTCCTAATTTTTTGGTATTACCATTTTTTAATTGGAAGGTGATTATTCTTAAGTGATCCATTTTTACTTTCCCTTGCATATCTTATGGTTTCCTTTTATACATGTATTGTTTTCAGAGGTGGTGGTTTTTGCAAATTGTGTAGCCTGTCTCCACAACTTCAGGAATTCCTTGGAGCACCAGAAATGGCTAGGACTGAGGTATACTTTCTTTCTTTTTTCTTAATTTTTTGGTAAAAATAAATGGTAGTAAAGGTAGGTTACCCCATTGCTATCAGTCAAGAATACATAGAATTTCTATAAGAGTGAGTATATAATGTAATTCTATTTCTAGCCTTATAGCATCTATTTATAATGTTGGCCTTAGATTGTTACGCAATTATGGGCCTATATTAGGGAGAAAAATTTGCAAGACACAAACAATAGGCGAAATATCATTTGCGATGAACCTTTGCGTGCCCTTTTTGGTGTCCATTCAATCAACATGTTATTTGTCTACCTGGTATCACAACCCCTTCCTTGCCAATTATAAATAAGGAACCTTGACATAATGGTAAAAATGTTTTATCAGTCATGAAGTCGAGTACCTACTACTGAACAATGTATCAGTCACAAAGTCAAAAGAATCAAGTGCTCACACTTGAGTATTGGCCCCTGCCACCAGCCCCATTTTTTTGCAGTTGCTGTCAAGTTTTTAGAGAAATTGTTCACACTAATGGTTGGTTATACCTTTTAACACTGCCACCAAAAAATTAATCGTTTGATACCCACCATTCTATTTTTTTTGTTTTCCTTTCTCTTATTGATTTATATTTGGTTGCTATGTATAGGTATTAAGTTTGAAAAGCTCGAGATACACGGAAGGCTCGAATTGGTTAGCCATGTAATTCACCAAAAGAATATCAGCAGGAGTTCTACAAGCAACCCCTTAATATGAAATGATTGAGTATGTTCTACTCTTGGTACTACTTTTGTCTTTTGTGGTAATTTCGTTGAAGAGAGGTGCTTTTATTTGCTTGTCATTTGATGATGTCTTCAACTTCTTGAGTATTAACTTGAGAGCCCTCATGTCAAAAAACAAAGTTTTATTTTATTTTTAGTGTAATAATAATAAACATTTTTACATCTGAATTTTTACATCGGTAAGCAATACGTTTTAGATGAGTATATAGAAATTTAAATATCTTTATGTATACATTTATTAGCATGTAAATACAAATTTGTGATATTCTAAAGACTAACGACACTAATCCTTGCAAAAAAAAAAATTATTTATATAAAATGCTGACAATTAGAGATGGAAATTGGGCTCGGCCCGGAGGGCCGACCCGTCAATATATTTTTATAATTCAATTGAAATTTTATCCTTCTACTTTTATAATTAAATTACTAAATCTGATTTCAATTTTTGTAAATACAAATTTGTGAAATTCCAAAGACTAACGACACTAATTCTTGCAAAAAAATAATTATTGATTATTATTTTATAAATCTGATTGTAGTAAATGAAAGTTCATCTATGAGATAAAATATAAAAACCTAGACGCAACTATAAAAATCTTTTGTTGTGGATAAATATAAAAACCTTTTACATGCTGATAGTTAGAGGTGGCAAACTGGACTCGATCCGGAACCGACCCACAAACACATTTTTATAATTAAATTAAACTTTCATCATTCTTCTTTTATAATTAAATTCCTAAATCTGATTCTAAATTTTGTAAATACAAATTTGTGAAATTCCAAATACTAACGACACAAATCCTTGCAAATAATAATTATTTATTATTATTTTTTAAATGTAATTGCAATAAATGAAAGTCTATCTCAAAGATTAGTGTAGTTGCTTTGATTCTGTTCATATGCATTTATTGCTATGTAAGCAAAAAATATGACTTATACATGCTTATTTGATTAAGTTGCATTCAAATCCCGTTCAGACAACATTTTTTTTGTTCCTTAAAAACATTTAATCCAATCTTTTTTTTTTTTTATGATACTATGACTTTTGGGTGTTAACATATTAGTGTTAATTATTTAATTAGTTTTTGCCTTCTGTATCGTAGGCACAAGGAACAAAAATCACACAAGAAATGACATATTTAGTAAGTGTTGAACTCATCCCTCCAATGATTGCTAAGAAATGACACTGAATGAATAGCGTTTTCATATTATAGGTAAAAGCTGATATTTTAAATCCATATTTGCTTAGTGTTATTGTTACTTTGATTTTGTTGACGAATGTTATAGTTAGCAATGATTTGTATGCATTTTTCTTTTTATATTCCTTTCTCATGTTAACATGGTGTATTATAACGTATTATGGTGTATTATGATGTAGTTGTATGTAAAATTAATTATCCCTCTGAATAACAGATTTTTGTTTGTGGTTGATATTTGCGAAGTTCTGTGTCAATGCTGTAATTTTTTTCACCTGGAATATAAAACAAAATAACAACACAGTTTTTTTGTAAATATAAGATTTGCAGTGCGATTAACCAACCACGGCGGGCGATAAAAATTTTGATCTTTTTTTTCCGTGCATCACATGGGTAATATACTAGTTTATAAAAACATCACAGTGAATCCAAGTTAGCTTAGCTACTCTGTTTAAGTTTTTGTGAGAATGTTTATCTTAATTTCAAGCTAATTGGATGCATACTCTTTCCTGAGCTTATATTTCCGTAGAACTTTGCTACATGCCTCCCTGTAACATACGGATCATATTAACTGTCACATGTATATACATTTGTAGTACAAGTTATTTATTTAGATTTAGACACCATTGTCAGCTTTCTAGCTAGACTTGGCTGCAAATTAATGCAATGCGTTTACTGCTTCATGAAAATCGATGTACATTATGATATCATATGCCACATCTCCATCAGTATTCAGTGCTATATTTTACTTAACTATCATACATGGTAGAAAAGAGCTAATCATGTAGATTATAGAACCACAAAGATGTACTATATTTCAAGACTGACCCAATAACAGAAACTATAAATTTGTATTTCTCAGAATAACAATATACATAAACTGTTATTTATATGGGCATAAAACACATTGAGTTTTTATTACTATGATAATTCCAAGCATTTTGGAAACACTTGACAACCAAAAGAGAAATTTTAAGGGATTTACTTTGTCCCTCTTCATTTCAAGCCTTCTTTATAGATGGAACAGTTCCATCTGTTCCTGCAAGCATAGCATACTTGTCCTTCCTTGTTAAACTGGTGCACTCAAACCCCAAAGTCCCAGCAAGAACCCTTTGAATGTAATTTGCAACTTCAATTGCAGATTTCCCACCCTTGCAGGTAAGCTCTGAGGGTAACTGGTTCAAGAAAGTGATCTCATATGTGGGCATGGGATTCATGAACACAAAATAAGGGTCTAACAGTTTATAGCCACGACTTGATGTTCCATAAAACACACTTTGTTTTGTGTTGATAGCAACTGGGACAATCCTATCTGTTAGTTCAGCAAAAAGTGCACTGAACCTCAAAAGAAATGGTTCTCTACAAGTGGTACCTTCAGGGCAAATCACCAAGTCACCTTCTTCAAGCAATTTCTTGATGTTGGCAGCATCTCTCTCTCTTTCCCTTGTGAGTGCCACAGCTTTGATTGGTGAAATTAGTTCAGAGAATTTGCTTATACTGTATGTGACACAGCTAATTTTTCTTCCAAGTGCAACTGCTGTAACCACTGGGTCTAAAACAGTACGGTGGTTACAAACAAATAGGACTCCACTTTGACCTTTCTTTGGTGCTGGTGGAGGGGTACCCTTCCTAATGACTCTTATTCCTAGCAGCTGATAGTTGTACCAAGCAATTCTTTCAGGTAAAGGGATGTTGAGATAGACCCTTAAGATAGAGAGTATAATACCAATTGGCATCCATAGGAAGGTCAAGAGTGCAACTAAAGGGGTTGGCCTTTGAACTAATCGACCCTCATGAAATATAATTGGGCTTAGAAGCTTGTTTCTTGGTAATGGCTCACACTTTGTCCTTGGTACCATATATCCTTCCTGCAAGGGAAAATAAAGTCAATAATTAGCTTGATTGGACACATGAAAAGCAAGCATATAGTGACAATTTCATTGAATTTTGGCTTCTCTGTCACAACCACTAAACTTGTTAGTCCCCATAAAGCCTTATTGGAAGGTGGGTCATAATATTGTCCCGTGGAAAAATCATCAATAAATCGATCTGGATAATAATATTTTTATGATATTTATTTGAAAAATATGTTTCTCATTTTGTATAAAAATAATTTTATCTCATATAAAAAATGTGTCTGAGGACTGAGATTCACTAAAAGCAAGAGAGAAAAAGAAGAAAAGTGGATTCCATTTATTTTTTGTGTGCATAAAACAATTTAAGAGACATATCTCCCTGTTTATTTACTTACAAAAAATCCTTGAATCTGATGATATAACAAAGGAAAAAGTGTGTATCATTTTAAAAGATATAAAATTGTGTCATTTTAAGTGAGAGAAAGAGATAAATCATGGGAGAGAGAGAATAGACAAAAAAAAAATAAAGGTATGAGTCACATCTCTTTGTGAGAGAAATGATACAAGTTATGTCAATTAAAAGAATAAACATTTTTTCCTCTAACAAATAAGGGAAAAATATTTCTGCAGTTACTGTCGATAAATTATCTGCACTCGTTCCTAAAACGACGTTGTTTTGGTATTGAAATATTAAAAAGTTATAAATATAAAGATTATTATAACTTTGAAATAAATTAAAATTACAAAAATACAATGATTTTCGCCTCAAAATAACATCGTATTAGACTTATTGTAAATATCTTATTTACAGTAACGGCAGAAAAAGCGAACCCAATAAATAATCAGTAAGGGCAAACAAATTTTTCCAGGGTAAGGCAACAGGGGATGTCATAAGGATTGTGCTTTCTCATTGATGATAAGAAACTATGCAGGGAGATGTGAATTACACTTGTCATATATTTTAGATGAGGTACAAACAATAAGGCTTGGATTGAGTGCTAAAAATTGGTTGGGCATGAGGAACTCATGGAAAGTGTCAAAAGTCCTCAATCTAAATTGAATTTGTTTTATAATTGGAGTAATAAACCAAGTAGAGATCTTTCAATTATTAGTGGTATACAGAACAAAGTAGCTAAGGATCATGACTTACGAGGAGAGAAAACTGAAAAGCATAAGCATAGCCAGCTCGAAACACAAGCTGTTATAAGGTGTATCCATTAATGGACATTGCGGGACCCAATAAAAAGTTGAGGGTAGTAATTATCGAAAAAGACAGGAGGAGTTTTGTTATGCCACGAGAGAAAATATAAATACCCAAAAGCAGACATAGGTTTAGGAAGATAGGCTCATTATACATATACAGATGAAAAAAATTATGTGTGGCGGTTATTAATGCTCTCACCAAACATGAAATAAATCGGGGACAATCTAATTACTAATCATAATGTCTTAATTGTACGTGGTAGCTCTATCGAGCTAAAAAAAACAGCTCACAAAGCTCCATTACTTGCTTCGTCACATCCAAAATATATGGGACGTTGAAAAAGAATGAATGAAAACAACATTATGTCCAACATGATAAAAAAAAAAAAAAAAAAAACTACTGCTATAAACTTCCCTATGCGCAGACTTATTATGTGGATCTATAGGAGCTGGTGTTTTAAAATTCTCACTGTGCACATTGTCAAGAACAAAGATGTAATTCATGAATTAAACCTTGGAGTTGTATTGTCTGAAATTTAAACAAATAAGTTACATTTTCAATATTGATTGTTATTCTATTTATATCTATCTGATCTAATTTTTTATTTGTGTAATTAAGCCATCAGATACAAGTTAGTTAATGCCTAAAAATAAATGTAAGACTTCTTATTCTTCTCTCAATATAAAAATAACTCTCACACACACACACATATATATATATATATATTGGATCAAGATTATTTCAATATAAGTTATACTTACAATTTTGATATTTAATCCTATTTATATATAACAGTTCTAATTTATTAAATATTTAAAGTATTAGACATAAATAAATCAATGACCAAAAGTTGTTGGAAGAATTTTTATCCTTAGACGGCTATAAAAATAACGTGCACCATATATATATATATATATATATATTAATTATACCTTGCAAATTGACATGAATTGGTGGTCAGAAACACTATCTCCCAGTCCCAAATCTGGTAAATGAGGGCCAAATTCCTTCGCAAGAGCTGTTTTCTTGTGCTCACCAACAAGTACACCAGGTTCCTTAACAAACCCTGTTATCCTTCCTGATTTAGTTGTCTCTAGTTCTGTCCCAAGCACCTTATCAGCTCCCAAAAAGGTCTTAACAAAAGGCTCCACCATCAACCTTGGGCTAGCGGTGACAATGTATCGTTTACCAAAGGAATTGAACACTCTCCATGTCTCTGGATGAACGTCCTCTGCATAGAACCTTGGCAACACTGACCTTGACACAAGCTCAATATCTCTGACCTTTAGACCCGCGAAGGTAATGAAGATCAATGTTTTAATGGCTACGGTTTCGGAGATAAATAGGTACGTGAAGTATACAAAGGGGACAGAGGCTAGAAGGACTAGTGCTCTTAAGATGCCACCACCTTCAAGAGCAATGAGCATGTAATAAGGGAAAGCACTTCGAGATACGAGAAGGGTTCCATCTAAATCTGAAGCCACGGTTTGGTTTGATCTTTCTTTTGTGCTACATTTGGAGATTGGTTCGAAACAACGAAAGACTCCCATGACCATGAAAAATAGAATGGAAAAAAAGGAAGAGAAATAGAGAGAGAGAGAGATGCTAGGATGGTGTTGTGGTGAAGAATGGTTTGGATGAGCTAGCTAAAGATATTAGATAGCTCAGAAATGTTATGAAGAGAGAGAGAGGGTGAAGTGGGGGTTTATAAAGGAGGAGGGTGAGGATGATGTTGGTGAACAATTTTGAGGAAGAAATATAATTAATATAAAAAAAGAAGAGAGAGAAATAGAGGTGACTTTAGAAGAGTGAGTTACATGAAAAAGAGAGTTAAAGAAAAAAATGGGGTAAGAGTAAGAGTGTGTATGTGTGTGTTGTTTTTCGTGTATGTTTTGGCGTGCATGGTAGGGCAGTTGGGGTCTTTGAGTAGTTGGAAGTCGATAGCAATAGCTACGTTTCATTCAATTAGAGCCTACTTTTTAGTTTATTGACGCCGGCTTTTACCGCCTCATAAAAACCAAGCCTCGACTTGTGTCTTTAAAGTGTTTTATTTGGCTAAGAAAACATATCAGTATTGGCTTAATTGTACCTTGACATTTTAATGTTGGGATTTACTATATTATTTCTCTTGATTTGGAAATACCTAACATCTCTCTACTATTTTTTTTACATGCACCAATTCATCGATTACTGATCGATTACCCTGATTTTAATACTGTGAGACTTATTATAAGGGATAATTCTCCCAAAACTATTTTTTCTATCTCTAAACTAAATTTTTAACACAATTATAAATATAATTTGAGTTCAAGACCATTAATTAAATTGCAACTATCCCCTATATCATTTAATTCAACTTGGTGGTACATTTTAGTGCTCCTTTGCTGAACAGGATAGGATAATGGTATGATATGATATGGAGCTGATATGAGTAGGATATGATATAAGGCTGATAAGCCTATATCATGTGTTGTGTTTGATGAGCACCTAATTAGCAATCTGATAAGACTATGTAGAAGGAGAAATGAGAAAGAAAAAATAAAATATAATGCAATAAGTACAAATATATTGAGTAGCTAGGATATATTGGGTAGCCAATATTGGTATCCTATCCTATTGAATCCTAACCCAGCTCCCCCCATAGGATAAAAAATCATGTATTGGATAGGATAAAATAAGATAACAGGATAAGCTAATCATATCATATTGACCCACCAAACAAAAGATAAAAGTAGGATATGATAAGTTATTCTATCATATCTTCTTTATCAGATGCTCGAAACAGGCCCTTAATGTCTTCATGTTTGTCTTAATTAAGCCACGGATTGGTTAGTGGTGAGGAATAGGGATAATTTATATAAGATCATAGGTTCAAATACTCCCTTTGTATAATTTTTTTTTAACTTAATTTCCCTTTATGTTTTGGATCTTTTCACTCACATTATTTTCATATTATTTGCTTTAAGTAAAAAATATTTGTTTCATTTATATTTTTTTCTCATATTTCAGTTACATGCATTAATTAAAGGACACATGATAAAACAAAAATGTGCCACACATGACATTCTCTTCTCTAAGTTTTTCTAAACTAGACCATGTATTTGTAGGCACATGATAAAACTAAAATGTGCCACACATGACATTTTTTTTTGGTAAACGTAAAGGTATACATTTAATAAAACATGTTTCTTTCTTCTTTACGTTACTTTTGATTTTTTAAGTTTATTTCTGTGTGATTTAGCTTTTCCAATCAATAATAAAACAAAATTTGGGAGCTCATTATGTTTTATTGCAATATATAAAAAGCGTGTAGAAACATTCGAATTTTATGTTTTAGAAAAACAATTTGCATATAATACTAATAAAGCTATACATTTTTTTTATTTAAAATAAAAAGGTAATCAAAATTGGAAAAATTCATATAACTCCATATGATATTTAAATTTATAATAATCCTATAACCAAAAATACTAAACTAATTTAGAAGAAAAAAAAGATAACACATCAAATGTAAAATAGTTCGGCTAGAGTTTTTTCCTTCTGAAATTTACTTCTTTCAATACCCAAACCTATAAAAAAGAATATCTTTAATTTTTATTTACATAAAAAATATCTTTAATTAATGTCACAAACTTATTGTTATGTAATATCAATAAAAATGACTTCAACCCAGATTAGTTGATGACTTTGATTAATAATTTATGTTATATGTAATTCTCCGCTTTTAATATCCTCTATATAATTTATGTTATATGTAAAAGACATAAAATTTGGTTTTTCTTTTCTTTTTAGGTATGCAAGGTGTACTCGATCAGTTGCAATAGGTTTGATGCTTCAATTTCTTATTATTTTTATCTTGGTCATACTAAACAAGTAGGTTATGTTAAAATTCATAATTGTACTAGATACGGCGGACATGATATCTCCGCAAGCGTTCTTAATTAACTCGAGGGATGATAATTTGAGAGGAATTGACTTGTCTCAGATTGTGTGTTGGGCTTCCTCATTCAATGCTAAGCCCAAGTTCATAGAGAGGTTTCTTAAAAATCATAAACCCTAGATCTCACCTCTCTATATATTCATTAGTTGTGGGTGGAGGCTAGGTTAAGAGATTGAGAGAGAAAATTTAAGAGAAAATTATTTGAGAAATTTGAGCAAAGCTTTATGCTTTGTATTTGAGAGATCTCTAGAGAGTTTGAGCGAAACATCTATAGGGAGATTTGATTATCACCATTGTTAGAGAGGTTGAGTTAACCACCACATTAGTGATTCTGATTATTTGTAACCATTATTTTCATAGTGGATTTTTGATCTGGATTAGGTCCCGTGAATTTTTTACTTCTTCATTGAAGAATGTTTTCCCACGTTAAATCTGGTTGTGTTCTCCTTCTCTTTCTCTCCTGTTTGCGTTTTGATTTTTCGTCGCGCTGCCCGACCTGGTGAAGTTCAGGCCGAGGTATTGCCGAGATCCGAGATCAGGATCTTGTTGATTGACTTCCGCACAAAGGCTGCTTAGCCGAGCTTGAGGGAACCGAGTTCCCAACAGTGGTATCAGAGCCCGAGTTCAATGGGTTCTGAGAGAGACGAGATGGAGACCAGTGGCATAACCAATGATGGAGACATGTTCAAGCTGACCGCAGACAATTTTACCTATTGGAGACCGATGATGAAAGATCATCTCTACTGCAAAGATCTACATGAGCCCATTATCCTTGATGAGAGACCGGCAGGCAAGACCGATAAGGAGTGGGAGTTCCAGAGTCGTAAGACGGTAGCTATAATAAGAAAATATATTGACAAGAGCCTCTTTAAGCACGTGTCCGAGTTTACGAACGCGTACGAGTTGTGGACGAAATTAGAGTCCTTGATTCAAAAGAAGACTCCCAGGAACAAAGCACACCTGGTTCGTCGACTTGTGAAGTTGGAATACAAGGACAACATGAGTATGATTGAACACCTCAACACCTACAAAGGTATTGTGAATCAGTTGTCAAAGGATGATATGAAAATTGATGACGAGATGCAGGCTTTGCTGCTGTTGAGCTGGCTGCCAGAAAGCTGGGATACTCTGGTGGTGACCTTGAATAATTCGACTCCAGATGGAAAATTGAAGATGGATGTCGTGACAGACAACCTCCTAGGTGAAGAAGCCAGGAGAAGAGAACGAGGTATTTCGAGCACGTATGAGGCCAACGTTCTTGAGAACAGAGGAAAAACCGACTCCCGGGGTAGAAGCAAGAGTCGGAGTCGAGGTCGTGACAGGCGAGAAAAGTCCAGAGGTCGGTCAAAACCGAAATATGATTTGAAGTGCTTTTACTGTGGAAAGACAGGTCATAAGAAGCCAGACTGCTGGACCCTGCAAAAAGATGAGAAGAATGGCTCTGTGAAGCCAGATCAGATTATTCCCAAGAAAAGGGAAGACAAGAGCACCACTGCGGTGGTTGCCAACCCGGATGTCGAGATACTCCTCCTTGGTGAGGATAATTATTTGAATGCTGCATATGATGACTGCACTTGAATTGTTGACTCCGGTGCCTCCTTCCACGTTACTCCACACAAATGTTTTTTCTCCTCTTACCGAGGTGGTGACTTTGGAGCCGTGAAGATGAGAAATCAGGTGACCAGCAATATTTTTGGTGTCGGTGATGTAACTCTGACCACATATGTCAGGTGCCGACTTGTGTTGAAAGATGTAAGGCATGTTCCTGACATGCGATTGAACCTAATCTCGGTAGGCAAACTTGATGATGCCGGATTAGTGAACTACTTTGGTAGTGTGAGATCGAAGCAGGCCAAGGGAAACTTGGTCGTGGCCCGAGGTAAGAAGGAAGGCTCTTTACATGTGATGCAAGGAAAGATCAATATCGGAGAAGCCAATTCTGTCCGAGATGAATCTAGCTTGGAGCTATGGCACAAGCGCCTCGGTCACATGAGCGAGAAAGGGCTCCAGATCCTGAACAAGAAAGGATCATTGACCGGGTTGAAAGGCCAAGCGTTGGATAGTTGCACGCACTGCCTAGCTAGAAAGCAGCACCAGGTTTCTTTTGTGAGACCAGATCAACCTAGACGACGCAGGTATATTCTTGACCTCGTCTATACTGATGTCTGCTCCATGTCGGAAAGATCCCATGGAGGAGCTCAGTACGTTGTTTCATTTATTGATGACCATTCTCGCAAAGTGTGGGTATATTTGTTGAAGTCTAAAGACCAGGTACTCCAATCCTTTAAAGAATTACATACAATGGTTGAGAGGGAGACTGGCAAGAAATTGAAGGTGGTTCGATCTGATAATGGTGGTGAGTATTGCGGCCCATTTGATGCATACTGCAGAGCGGCCGAGATTCGACTTAAGAAGGCGCCCCCCAAGACTCCACAGTTGAATGGACTTGTTGAGAGGATGAACAAGACTATTGAAGAAAAGGTCTGAAGCATGTTATCCAATGTCGGATTGCCGAAATCATTATGGGGAGAAGTCGTCGGAACTGCTGTTGACTTGATCAACCTCTCACCATTACGGCCACTTGAAGGAGAAATTCCAGAAGAAGTCTGGACAGGTCGGAAAGCAGCCTAAAATCAACTAAAGGTGTTTGGATGCCGAGCTTTCGTGCATATCCCTAAAGATGAAAGGGCAAAACTTGATGCGAAGAATAAAG